GTTTTATGGTTGTTTTTGTGGAAACTTAACTTCATACAAGTGGGTATTATGCTTATATATATATAAATATATATATATATAAATATATATATATATATATATATAATATATATATATGGTTACAGATTATGATGTTTAAGTTACCGTTGGAATTGGTAACATGTTTTGGTGGCTCATAGCATGTATACCTCGTTTACACTGATGATGGATTTAACAATCCGAAAACGTTTTGTAATGTAATTGTGATAGCCCGTTTGGGCATTTTATTATAAACCTTTTATAAAGGAATTAAAAACAAATTATCTATGAATTGTCAAAACAAATTAAATTAATTGACGAATTTTTTAGTGTTATTAAGTAACAAAACAAAATAATTGTTTAATTTGTAATTTGAGTACGGTTTCTGAAGTGAAAATAAACGTTTCTTCATTTGAAATTGAAGTTTATTCTCAGTGAAGATATTAAATAATATTAAAATGCCACAAGAAAATAACTTCCATATAATATTTCTTTTACGTAGCGGTTAGGTTTTAAAATAAGCGCTAACATAGCGAAACAAAGGAAAGTACTAGAATAAAAATAAAAAACTAATATGAAAAAGTGTTAGCATAAATTCTTTTATTTTAATATTTACAACAGCAGCTACAGCTCGATGCACTCCTGTCGACGCCATAAAAGAGGACTCTTGGGAGACAGTCTAATGCCGTTTGTTGTACAAAGTCGCATGTTTGATGTTTTATCTTGTTTAGCATTATAATGCTGTTTGCTTTTTTAATGCAATATGTACGAAATGTTTCTGCTTTGGGGCACAACTTAAGAAAACTCTGCATTCAAAATATAAATTATTAATTTATCTGTAAACAAGAATGCAGAACATAAAGCGATTTTAAGAGATTTGCATTCTCTTTAAGAACTATAGTTCTTTTACTAGATGTAATGTATTGTTTGTAGTCTGTTTTCAGAATAAAAATATATTGTACTTGAGGATTTGTTTAGCATGTTATCAAACTGACATTTCAGGTTCGGATTCAGAATTCTTATATAGGACGATGGTATTTCTGGCAATAGAAACTTAATTTTAGCATTTCAATATTAACTATAAAAGAATAAAATTAAGTATTCAATCTAGGTCCTATTTTTTAATAGGATTTTGAAAGTACTCTCTTTCGAACTGAAAGTTTCACATCCGTTGTTACTCTCTCTATACTAATTTTTTAGTAAAGTGAAATGATAAATAAACATAATAACAATTATGTATAAGTGATGAAATATTAATTTATAATAATATTGTATATTTACAATAACTGAAATATACAAATCTGGGGAATTCTGTTCAAATCTGGCAACATTTAAAACACAATTTAAGGAAATAAAACAAAAGTGATTTTCTGAAAATTCTTTCGGAGTAAACGTTAAAAAGCAGGGGTGATAAGAGGCATCCCTGCCGTACTCCTCTTTTAATACATATTGAGGGCGTGTGGTTCCACACCATTAACTGAAACCTCTTTAGCGGCAAGTGAAAATTTTGTAAAGCCCATAGTTTGTGTTTATAAAGGATATGACTTAGATTATTATCAGATAAAACTAGCGCATGTCTTATTTTTTCAGACAATTCAGATTCTACATACCAGCCTTAATCTAATGACAGTGACAGAGAATACGAAGTAGAACCTGAACTACCGAAACCAGGATTATGGAAAAAACATAACAAACACCCCGGTAAGAAGAGGCTGAGGAGGCAGACAATTAAGCACTGAAACGTGCAAAGCAAGCAATAAATGAGGGGTACCTTTATACTGACCGAAAAGGAACAGTGCATCGAGCAAAGCGTATGGAAGAGTCTAACCATAACTGTAGATACGGCTGTAATACAAATATCCCTAATGATAAATGCCAATCAATTTTTGACAGATATTAGGGACTTGGAAGCTGGAACCTTCAAACTTCTTTTTTATGTTCTTATATTAACCTTCAAGATTCTGCAAGAGAAAAACCTAATGCGAGCTATGTAAAAAGAACAAGCTGTACTTACACATTAGAAGGGTATAGAGTATGTAAAGCTTTTTTTATGAAAACCCTTGATGTCAGTAATAAACGAATTACTAATGTTATAATAAAAAAAAAATCACCAGCACAAACTCGGTTTCTCACAAGGACCAAAGAGGTCGTAAAACCCCATCGAATAAAACAACAGATGAAACCATTTACTTAATCAAAGAGCACTTAAAGTCGCTTCCTAAGTACAGTAGCCATTACTCTAGGATTAGATCTCCAAATATGAAGTATTTGAACGTGGAACTGACAATGAAAAACATCTACACTTTGTATGTAGAACCGTGTATGGAAGTAAACATAAACCCTGCGAAGGAGAGTTACTATAGGTATATTTTCTGTACTAATTTTATTTTTTTACTCAAGAGACCTCACACCGATATGTGTGACAAATGTACCACACTACAGAATATTATCAATAATGGTGTTGATCCAGAAAGAGTTGCAACAGCAAAAATTGAAAAATAATTACACTTATGCAAGGCACAATCTTGGTTGGTAGCGGGTAAATACTCTTTTACGTTCCCGGTAGAAGATAGATCTACTTCAGGGATGCGACCCTGCCCACGTGAGCCATAATTATCTCCCAATCTCCTGGTACCTGGGAGAAATTATGTCCTGAACCCATTCTCCCATCTAATTACCAAAGTTTCCATTCCTATATCCTACTCTGTCAGACAGTAGCATCAGTACCAAGATAGAGCGTAAGGGAAATGATCCTGGATCGGTATATTATTAAATATTAGAGCTGCTAAATTAACCGAACGATTACCGGTATAAGTAATCCCCCACCTGTTGGTCAACAGCTAAGGGTGGAAGAACCGACACGTGGTAGGGCACTTCATTGCCCTGGAGCATAGAAATTAACTCCGAAGGCGGAAGAACTAAATTAGTCAACGGCATCGAGATGTGGAAAGCCAGGGGATGACTACCACATTAAAGATCCGTAAGGATATCCTTAGTAAAAATCATCATGGACCCACTAGTGAATAACTTACGTTTTGCAGACGATACAGTAATAATTACGGATAACAACAATGATTTACAACATGGATAACATCAGATGTAGACCAAACCAAAGAAATTAAGACACGTATTGAAATAGCACGTACATCATTTATTAAACTTAAAAAGTTTCTTTGTTGTCGGGATATAAGGTTAGAGCTACGCCTGAGAATGCTTCGATGTTACGTGTTCTCTACTCTTCTTTATGGTCTGGAAGCTTGGATACTAAAACAAGTTCATCTGAATAAGTTGGCCGCCTTTGAATTTTGGTGTTACAGAAGAATCCTACGAATATCATGGATTCAAAGAATGTCAAACATGGAAGTAACTAGAAGGATAGGAAATGAGGCGGAAATAATATTAACCATTAAAAGACGAAAACTTGAGTACTTGAGACATGTGATGAGAGGGCAAAAATACGCATTATTACAACTTATTATGCAGGGCAAAATCCGAGGAAAGCGAAATGTGGGAAGACGAAGAATATCCTGGAATAAGAACTTGAGGGAATGGTTTGAATGCAGTAGTGCAGAACTTTTTAGAGCGGCAGTCAACAGAGTCCGCATAGCCATGATGATTTCCAACCTTAGATAGAAGATGGAACTTAAAGAAGAAGAAGAAGGCATAAACTGCAAAAAATGCAAAGTATGATGATGCGTCGAATTTCAAAGATGGCCCAACTACAGTAGTTATATGCTTTGATTTACAAAAGACGCTTCCAACTTCTATTTTAACTTATACTATGGACTTATAATTTCTGTGTGCACAAAGTTTACACTGGACAGACACAAATGTTTTTGTGGCATGAAGGCCAAGGTAATCGTGGTTGCAACGAAATTGCTTCCTACCTTTGGAAATACATCCAAACGCTGTCACCAACCGTTAAGCGCATAATTATGTATAGTGACAACTATGGTCGCCAAATCAAAAGGCATTATATTGTAAAGTTCTGGCATTATGTAGTCCAAAAGATACAAATTGATACTGTTGACCACAGCTTTCTGGTAGTGAGACATTCATTCATGGAATGTGACCACGATTTCGGGATTATCGAAAAAGCGAAAAACAGAAACCATCAGCAGGTTTATGTACCAAGTATTTGGGCCGACATCATAGTGAAATATAGTAGAAAGTTCATGGTGACGCAAAGGAGGATGATGACTTTGTGTCTTTAGATTCACTAGAACCTTACTTTAGGAAAATGTACCAGGTATCAGTAAAATCCAACGTATGCATTTTGAGAAAGCATATCCATATACACTGTTCTACACAGAAAGCGTCAACCTTCCTACCTTTTACCAGCTGAACATAAGGTCCTCAAGAGCTGGTCGACCTCTCAACGAACTCCCGTTATTAACAACAACAGGAGACAGGCCAAAAATCAAGAAACTTAAATTTGACAACTTACAGTCACTCTTGCCATACGTTCCCTCTATCTACCACGACTTCTTCAACACCTTACAATACGCTAATGGGCCTCAAAATGTTCCTGTCGAAGTTAACCAGAATGTTATTGTTCCCCCAGATGCCGAAAAGCCAGGAAATATTTTTGATAGCGAATCAGAAACTGATTAGTTATACTTCAGGAATGGTAGTATTAAATTGATTTAAACAATTTTTTAACTCATTCTGTTCAGTCAGTATGTGGTTCTTTTTTTTTGGAAGCCAAGGGGTACAATTGATCACTCTTATCACCTTATCAAGGATTGTAAAATAAGGTCAAAAATACAAGATCTAAAACTTATTCTACAACTTATGTAACACTCCTAAGTTATGTTAAAAAGTGTTTCATGTCTATAAAACAGTTACTTATAATTTTAAAAGAGAGTTAAACTTAAACCTTCTTTTTCTTATTATCAATATTTAGTCACTTGTACATATATAGTTTCACTAGTTAGGTTACGATGAGATCAACTCCTTCATTATTAAATAATCAGCTTGTTAAACGAATATTTTATTAAAATGAAAACAAATTTTATAAAATTATAACAGAGAAGTACTATTTAACAAAAGAATATTGACAAAAACATCATTATCTCGAAATACCGCCTAAATTTTGTACTTTAGTAACATAGCCACAAACGCATAAATAAAAATAGATTTAGCAAGATTTAAACTATTTTTAAATGTTAACAATATTAGGGAGGATATAATTTAATCTTATTATTTTTTAAATCTTTTTTAATATGATTTAAATAGCTTAACTGTATCCTTTAAGCAAAATATCTTAAAATAATATAATGTGTAAGTTGTCAAGTTGTTGATCACTCAGCATATGCCCTAAATAATAATTTACATAGAATCTATACTCGGCCTACTTTTAGTAAAATATTTGTCGCTTATATTATGTCTCATAACAACCCCAGTTATAATAACATCTCCTTGAATGTATAGCGTATTTGTCTTTCTTGGATCACCGCGATATTTGAATTCTCCTGCTAATTGCCCATTCACCCAAATGGAAAAATGATCGACGTAACTTCGGATGGCGATGCTAAATTGAGAAGATGGAGTAAATGGGCATTTGTCAACTCTTTCCTCTGGTCCCCAGTCGCCATCTAACCAAGAATTCCGTACAAATACATGCCTGGTGTTTAAGTAACCTGAAAATAAAATGATTTAATTAATTTAATTAATTAATATTTGAGAAGTTGGGCTTGGCAATATGTCCTTTAGCCACAGATCAGATGACATATTACTGACTTAACATTAAATGTATTGTAATATGCCTACTGTGAAAAGTAGGTACTTATACGTATTGATTAATTTTTTTTTATAGATTAACTCTATTATGATAAGTTATTTATTTTTATGCTAATTAATAATTTTTGTTTTCCTAAGAAATTCAATTAATAGATCATACATGATTTGTCGATTGTAGCAATTAAACGTGATATGTTAACTGAAACCGCAATTTTTAGTTTGTACAATTTAGAAAATACATGAAGAATCCATATAGAATCCATATGGTTAATACATTCAAAAAATATGTCGTTTAAATCTTCAACTTAAGTGCCATTAATTACTATTTAACTGGGAATAAGCAACAATTAAAGGTTAAAATACGTTTATTGACGTTTCAATTTCCACTTCGGAAATCGTTCTGAATTCACAATTTTATGTGGCGATTTCAACGCAAAAATAGGGGTAAAAGAAGCAGATCTAGAAACATATTTAGGACAATTCGGTTCCCCAAGAAGAAATGATCGAGGAGAAAAGCTACTGAGATTCCTACTCCAGAATAACTTATTCAACATGAACAGCTTCTTTCACAAAAATATGCACAGAAGATGGACTTGGAAAAGTCCAAACGGTAGAACAAGGAACGAAATCGACTACATCATAAGTGATCAAAAACAAATAATTAAAGATGTAACAGTACTCAACAAATTCACCACAAACAGCGACCACAGGATGATACGAGCGAAAGTTCAAATCAATATAAAAAGAGAAAGGAATATAATGATTAAAAATAAATTTCATGGTATCTGGACACCCCCATTAGATATCAACCAATATCAGACACATATCAATAATAAGCTTCTATTGCAGGAAACCTCCGCTAACGATATTAACGACTTGAATAACTGCATCATAAACGCCTTACAAGAAAGTCACCGAGTGCACTGTCCTAAAAGAAAATCAGATAGTAAAATAAGTCCATATACTGAAACGCTCTTGGATCAAAGAAGACAAATGAGAAGCGATAAGAATGTAGATAGCAACACTTTAAGAAAAATGAACAAAACTGTTCCGAACGCAATTAGGAGAGATTTAAGGAAATTTAATACCGATTATATTAAACGTACTATAGAGGAAAATAACAGCCTAAAAGTTCTACGTAGAAAGCCAAAGAATGGGAAATGCGAAATTCATAAATTAAGAAACAAGCAAAATGAAATAATATCACGTAGAGACGAGTTAATACAGGTCGTCGAAGAGTTTTACGAGGACTTATATAGAAGTAGACGAGAAGATAAAACAGGAATACAAACAGCCATTTCAAAAAAGATCAAGAATCAAGGTTCCGAACTAATGCCAGAGATAAAGCTAGATGAGATTCGACAAGCATTAAGAAAAATGAAAAATAACAAAGCCCCAGGAGAGGATGGAATCGTAATAGAAGCTATCGTAAATGGAGGAGATATGCTATTAAATAAATTAAGGAAACTATTCAATCTATGTTTGCAGCAAAGAGAGGTGCCCAAAGAGTGGAACAATGCTACAACCATCCTTTTGCATAAGAAAGGAGATAGAACGGACCTAGAAAATTATAGACCTATTAGCCTGTTGAACCACATATACAAGCTCTTCACTAGGGTAGTGACATAAAGATTGGAGAAAAAATTAGATTTCTACCAACCGAGAGAGCAGGCAGGATTCCGCTCAAATTATGGTACCAATGATCACCTCCACACAGTAAAAATACTCATTGAAAAATCTATAGAATATAACAAACCTCTTGTTCTCACTTTCATAGATTTTCATAAAGCGTTCGACACGATCGAATTAGACAGCCTTATAGAAGCAATGAATGACAGCAGGATTGACCATAGGTATAGTGAGCTTATTTATAATATTTACAAAAATACCACTATGACTGTTAAAATAGACAATAAAACCCGACCAATAAAAATAAATCGTGGAATAAGGCAAGGAGATACATTTTCGCCGAAATTATTCATAACGGCATTAGAATATGCCTTAAAGATGATCAATTGGGACCACAGAGGAGTAACGATAGACGGCGAAAAGCTTAACCATCTCCGTTTCGCAGATGACATTGTCCTTATCACAGATAATTTAGGAGAAGCTATAGATATGTTAAACGAATTGGATTTTGCATGTTCGAAGGTGGGCCTGAGAATGAACTTGACCAAAACTAAGTTTATGACAAATTTGGTCCCCAATAACCATTTGACTATTCAAGACAAAGTGGTAGAACTGGTGGAGAAATATACGTATTTGGGTCATGAAATAAGAATCAGCAGGGATAACCAAACATGTGAGAACCAAAGACGAATTACTTTAACATGGGCAGCCTTTGGAAAACTGCGAGACACACTTAGGGCCAACATACCAATCAGCCTCAAAAGAAAAGTGTTTGACCAATTCGTATTACCGGTCATGACCTATGGGGTGGAAACTATGACTTTAACCAAGACCACGGCTTCGAAACTGAGAGTGGCACAGAGACGAATGGAACGGTCTATGCTGGGAGTGACGTTGAGGGGCCGAATAAGAAACGAAGATCTGCGAAGAAGGACGAGTATTACTGATGTTGTGAAATGCATAGCGGAACTAAAATGGAACTGGGCAGGCCATGTAGCGAGAATGCACGATTCACGATGGACGAGTAAAATTACAAATTGGAGGCCAAGAGCAGACAAACGCAGTAGAGGAAGACCACCTACACGTTGGGCCGACGACATCAGGCGTATCACTAAAAATTGGCAACAAAGAGCACAAAATCGTGAGGAATGGAGGAGTTTAAGGGAGGCCTATGTCCAGCAGTGGACGTGATAAATAGAGGCTGGATGATGATGTTAAGAACGAATTCCAAAGTGGAAATTGAAATGTCAATAAACATATTTTAACCTTTAATGGTGGCTTATTCCTGGTTAAATAGTAATTAATTTAAAATGCCACAAGAAAATAGCTTCAGAACAATATTAAGTGCCATTATATGACTTATGACCAGTAGAATATTTTGGACCTCATGTTTTACCACAAAACCTACGGCACGTTCAAAGTGCCCTTGTTGCTTTAGTGGCGATTTGCGAGGTGAATATTCCACAAAAGTATTCTTTCTAGAATATCTAAGAATGAGAGCATTCATGATCAGAGGTTAAATTGTGAATTTTTTCTTATTTTATCGTTTTATTAGGATTTATTGACACTTCTTCAATAATACTGTCATTCTTATCTTTAACCGTTATAACTAGATCATCTGCATAGCCCAGAGTAGTACGAAATCCCTCTTATTTGAACTTTTTAAAAAAATCATCAACGACTACTGACCACAGTAGGAGTGACAACCCTTAAAAGCAACCTTTTATTTCTCTTATAGTAACTGACTGATCTCCAAACTAGGTAATTATTTAATTATGTTCCTAATACTGAGCATGGATTGAATCCATTTAATGATAGAAGGTGGTACACATTTTCCTTTTGTAGCAATGTTTATAAACTCCAATGAGGTGTTATCAAATGCCCTATAGTAGCCCCAAGTACACATAATGCCACTTTTTTTAACGAGGTGGCCTTTCAGGTCTTTTACTAAACGATTCGAAGCATGTATTGGCATGTAAGGTTGATAGGCAAATATTTCTTGTTGAAGAGGTATACTTAAAAAGTGTTCTCTCCTTATATATTTAATATTTTTCCATAACTTTACTTTAAAATATAGCCTATGTTCTTGATGATCTATATATTAATTAAGCAGGACCTACTTCATTTTAATCAATTTAACTAGTTCGTCTGCATAGCCCAGAGTAGCACGAATTCCTTCTCTTAACGACTACTAACTGCAGTAAATGGGCATTTGGTACAGTAGAAGTAACAAGACTGCTCCTTGAGGGCAACCTTATACTCCTCTTATATATATATATATATATATATATATATATATATATATATATATATATATATATCTTTGAGGGTATACAAGGCAACTATCGAACACGGTGATTAATTTAATCTTGCCCAAGTACTTTCGATCAATAGATCATCTTCAGGGGCATTTCGTCAATTGTGGCCTATCCGACACAGTAGAATGTCATAAATGTAAAATTTGGACATAACAATACAAAATACAATACACTAAGACAAACAAACACTTTAAAATTTATATGGAGAAGCTACATATTGTATAGAAGCCGGAGACATTGATTCTGTCTCCGGCTTCTATACAATATGTAGCTTCTCCATATAAATTTTAAAGCGTTTGTTTGTCTTAGTGTATTGTATTTTGTATTGTTATGTCCAAATTTTACATTTATGACATTCTACTGTGTCGGATAGGCCACAATTGACGAAATGCCCCTGAAGATGATCTATTGATCGAAAGTACTTGGGCAAGATTAAATTAATCACCGTGTTCGATAGTTGCCTTGTATACCCTCAAAGTTTAATTATTCGTACATTCAACCTTATATTGATATATATATATATATATATATATATATATATATATATATATATATATATATAATATATATATATATATAAATATATGAAAGATTAAATCTTTTAGCGAAAGCCGCTATCGCTTTATTATATTAAAAGGCCAAATATATGGCCTAGGAGACAAATTCGTTAAACTTCCTGTGCTCGAATCGGTATCACTAAAGTGTTATGATCATTTCGGCCTATCCCAGCCATCGTCAGACACTTGGGCTGATACAAATTCAAACACGGAAAGTAAAACGAATGTCTCCCAGAACTTTACTACTGCGTAGTTAGCTTACAAAGGCTCCACCTGCTTTGGTGACCGTGAACGAAACGATATGATAATATCGTTTTCTGTATCCTTTGTGCTATGCGAAATTTGAAAAATTAAATCTTTTAGCGAAAGCCGCTATTAGGTAGTCAGTCATATATA